CATTTATTGTCAGCAAAGTGTGGGCCGTGCTAGTCTGTGTCGCTATTTTTTTCTCCTTACTCTACTTACTTCTTCCTTAATCAGAATATGAATTGATGTATCTTGTTAATGTGCATGTACACCTATTTAGCACACATGTATACCTATCCAGCACGTATACACAAGCCAAACATGCACAAAACAAACACACACAACGCCAAAAGTCCAACCGTTGCGTTTATAATCCCCGTGATCATAAGGGTTAGTGAGAAGATATGCCAGAAATAATCATATTAAGCAAGCTAATAACACGTGAGGGATTTACGAGAACACGAAGATAAGGTGAACACATACAGGGATCGTACATGTACAAGGAGAGCACACGGTAGGAAGGCACAAGCGAGCGTAGCCAAGAAGCAACAACACTAAATGCGAAACGATGGAGGAAATGACAAGAAGAGACGAAACAAGGAAATATGTAGAGGTTGATGAAAGGGGAATAATGTCGTACATGTACAAGAAGGAGAGCACACGGTAGGAAAACACAAGCGAGCGTAGCCAAGAAGCAACAACACTGCAAAACGATGGAGGAAATGACAAGAAGAGGTGAAACAAGGAAATATGTAGAGGTTGATGAAAGGGGAATGATGGGCACTTACCTGACGCTCCAGGTACTCGATGCGCTGCTGCAGGCCGGCGAGAGCTTCCTTGTCGGCGCCGCAGGGACCCATGCTCTGAAGGGAGGAGGGGGTGTCAGCCTGGGAGTGGTGGTTGTGGAGGCCTTGCCCTTTCTTCTCTCTCTTTTCTCTCTTTCTCTCTCTCTCTATCTCTTTTGTCTCTCCTCTCTCTCTCTCTCTCTCTCTCTCTCTCTCTCTCTCTCTCTCTCTCTCTCTCTCTCTCTCTCTCTCTCTCTCTCTCTCTCTCTCTCTCTCTCTCTCTCTCTCTCTCTCTCTCTCTCTCTCTCTCTCTCCCCCTCTCCCGCTCCACTTCTTTCTCCTCGCTTCTCCACCCTTTACCCTTCCCTAACTCTCAATTCCCCACATTCTTCCTCCTTCTTCCCTTCCATATTAGCCCCCTTCTCCTTCTCCTTCTCCTTCTCCCCCATTTACCCCCTTCCATATTTGCCCCCTTCTCCTTCTCCTTGTCCCCCATTTACCCCCTTCCTTTCTTCGCCCGATTCCTCACCTGCAGAAGCAACAAGACGGAGATGGAGAGAGCAGCGACGCCGATGATGAAGGACACCACAGTCACGCCCACGAGACAGCTCAGCCTCTTGTTGAAGCTGTGCTCGAGTTCGTAGTCCTTGGAAGAAGGGAGGAAATGGATGGTGAAATACGCAGGAAAGAGGAGAAGAAGAAAATGTAGATGGAGGTGAAAGAAGAAGATTAATTAGAAGGAGGGGTGAAGAAGATAAGAAGGAGGGGTGAAGAAGATAAGAAGGAGGAGTGAAGAAGAATATAAGGAGGATGAAGAAGAAATGAATATAAGAAGGAGGAGGTGAAGAAGAATATAAGAAGGAGGAGGTGAAGAAGAATATAAGAAGGAGGAAGTGAAGAAGAAAAAATGAAGATGGAAGTGAAGAAGAAGATATAATGGAGAAGGTCAAGGAGAAAATAAAGAAAAAGGAAAAGAAGAAAAGAAAGAAAAAAGAAAATATAAAAAAAACGATTCCCTTAAGTCTTCATTCTTGTTATAATCATCATTATTTTTTCAAAACACTTCATTCCCTCTTTCTCTCACGAAGAACCCGGTCGTTCCTCGCTCCGGTGTGTCCTTGAAAATGACACAACTTGACAATGTCATTACGAGAAAGTTCATCGGAATGACGTCACTGGCCCCAAATGCCCTGAGTTTGAAGTCGTTATCTGTACATATATTCTAGATAAAGAAAATGGTTTAATTGATATGTCGCGCTTATCAAAATTCTAGTCGTATTGCTGAATCGCACGTTGGATTCTGCTGAGCAATGGAAGGAGCAGTTAATTTCATTATCATGCAATGATTATGATAATAGTAATGATAAAAAAGAAAAAGGTAATGATAATGATTATAATTCTAAAGATGGTAATTAAAGTGAAAACAATGATACTAATATTAATAATTACAGTGATGATAATGGTGACAATAATCCGACAATAATGATGATACCAATATTAACAACGGGAGCATTAAAAGATAATGGTAATGATAATAATAACGATGATATAAGAATGTTAATGATAATAATGTTAATGATGAAAATAGTAATGATGATAATAATAATAGTTATATTGATGATTATGATGATAATAGTAATCATGATAATAATGAGAATAATAATGATGATGACCATTATAATAATAACAATGGCAATGGCAATGGTAACAATAATGATGATCATATTATAATAACAACAATAATAATATAAAAATTATAATGAAAATAATAATAACAATTACAATGAAGGAAAAACGAGTAATGATACCAATAATAATAATAAAACTAATAATGTCAATAATGATGATGATGATAATAATAAAAATGATAAAAATAATTGCTGATAATAATAATGGCAGTAATAATAAGAAAAGTAATGGTAATGTTAATAATAATGATAGTAATAATAATAATAATAACAATAATAATGATAATAATGGCAGTAATCGATAATGAAAATTATAATGATAATAATAATGATAATAGCAATAATAATAGTGATATAATAATAATGAAACAAATATCATGAAAATATATTAATCATATCAGAAATTAATTAAAAGCAATAATTAATAATGATGATAAAATAATAAAGATAATATCAATAATGACAAGAAAATAATCATGATAATAACAATTCCAATAATAATGACATAAGCTAACAATGGTAATAAAGATAATGATAAAAATATTGGTAATAATAATAATGATAATGATAAAAAATATTGATAATAATAATAATAATGATTACAGTGTCAATAATATTGACAACAATGGTAATACTAACAATAATGATGTAATAATAACAATAGTAATAATGATAATAAATGTAATAGTAACACTAACAATAATAGTAAAAGGCGTAATAATTAGAACAACACATAATAATGGTAATGATATGAATAATAATAATAGTCATGATAATAGCAATAATGATAATGATAATAATAACAATAATGATAATAATAATAATAATAATAATAATAATGATAATAATAATAATAATAATAATAATAATAATTATAATAATTATTATTATTATTATTATTATTATTATTATTATAATGATAATAATAACAATAATAATAATAATAATAATAATAATAATAATAATAATAATGATAATGGCAATGATAATAATGATAATAAAAAGAATGATAATGATGATAATAATAACAATGATAGTGATAATGATAATAGTAATAATGATAATGATAATGATAATAATAATAATGATAATAGAATATTATTTAATAATAATGGTAACAACAATAACAACAAACAACGATAATAATAATGATAATAATATAATAACAATAATAATTATGATAATGATATGAATTTCAATTCGGATATTCATAATAACAATAAGAATGATATTGATGATGATAAAAATAATAATTATGATCAGAATGTAATGACAAGATGATAATGATGATATTCATAAACATGAAAGTATAAAAAAAAAAACATAAATGATATTAATAATGTTGGTGATAGTAAGAATATCAACAATGATAGTAATATAACAGAAGAACAAAATAGTGATAATAATAATTAACGAAATTTTCAAATTAATAATGATGACGATTGAAAAAAGGATAATGATAATGATAATAATAATGATAATAATGGTGATGATAATAACAATAACAGTAATAATAATAACAATAATGGTAAATAAGATGATGAAAAAATAAAGTGATAATGATAATAGTAATGATAATGTGATGAAAAAATAATAAAAAATAATCATGATGATAATGTAATAATAGTATGTTATAATGGTAATTATGATATTGATCATGATAAAATTAAAAATAGTAATAGAAATAGTAAAGATGGTAATGATATTCAAAATAGAAATAATGATGATGTACAATTCATAGACAGTAATAATAACAAAAAGGATGATGGTAATGATAATAATAGTAATAAATAATAAGATAGATTATAAGCATAAGGATAATAATAATGATAATAATTGGTGTATACATAATAACAATAACGATTAGTCAAGACACATAATAATAACAATAATGTAAACAACAACAACAATGAAAAATAATATAAATAAAAACGCTAATCATGATGGATATAATAATAATATAATATAGTAAATAATCAATAACAATAGGATGAATCATAATAATAGACTAACTAAATAAATCTAATAATAATAATAATAATAATAGTAATAATAATAATAATAAAAATAATAACAATAAAAATAGCAACAACAATAATAATGATACTGATTGTGATAATAATAATAATAATGACAATGTTGATAATAGTAATGATAATGATAACAATAATGATAATAATAGTAATAATAATAACAGTAATGATAATAATAATGATAATGATAATAATATTGATAATGATAATAATAATGATATTAAGAATAAGAATAAGAATAATAACAATATCATATTAATAACAATAAGAATAAGAACAACTATAAGAAGAACAACAACAACCACAACAAAAATAGTATTGATAATGATTATTATAATAATGATAAAAATAATAAGGATAACAAGAATAATGACGATGATGATGATGATGATGATGATGATGATGATGATGATGATGATGATGATGATGATATGATGATGATGATGATGATGATGATGATGATGATGATGATGATGATGATGATGATTGATGATAATGATAATGATGATAATGATAATGATAATGATAATGATGATATGATGATGATGATGATGATGTGATGATGATGATGATGATGATAATAATATAATAATAATAATAATAATAATAATAATAATAATAAATAATAATAATAATAATAATAA